CTCCTTCTCTCAAGTGATCCTCAGCTCTGGTTCAGTTTTTTTTTTTTTAGTTTTTTTTAATATTTATTTATTTATTATGTATACAATATTCTGTCTGTCTGTACGCCTGCAGGCCAGAAGAGGGCACCAGACCCCATTACAGATGGTTGTGAGCCACCATGTGGTTGCTGGGAATTGAACTCAGGACCTTTGGAAGAGCAGGCAATGCTCTTAACCTCTGGTTCTTTCTGTTTGTTTGTTTGTTTTCGAGACAGGGTTTCTCTGTCCTGGAACTGAGCCTTGGGCGGTGGTTATGTTTTAACTTGTGCACTGCCTGCATGTCATGATCCGAGTGTGGCCATCAGAAGGACCGCCTGTGGGAATCGGTTCTCTCCTTCTACTACATGGGTCCTGGGGATTGAACCCACATCTTCAGGCTTGGCAGCAGACACCTTTACTTGCTGAATCCTCTGGGCAGCTCTTTCCAGCCTCTTTTTGTTTGATTGCATGGTGGTTTTTGTTTTTTTTTTTTTAAGTAATGATTATTTTTGTGGCTTTGTTTTGGGACAGGGACTCTCTGCATAGCTCTGGCTGTCCTGGAATTCCCTCGTGTGCGCCACCACAGCCCAGCTGGAGGGATTCTATCCTTATCCTGACCTAGACATTCATCCTTCCTGTCTTCCCTCCCTGCCTCCTCTCTTCCACCTTTGCTTCCTTGAGATTCTGTGCCCCACACCTTCATGACCCTCACACTCGTACCTGATGTCAGCTCCCAGCTTTGTGAATTTCTCACAGAGTTAGGACACAAGGTTCATGACCTGGAACCTCTGCCCAGGAAGGAAAAGGAACCCATTTGGCCGCCCTCCTAAATTACCTCATCATTTCCCTTTCCACTGAGCATAGGTCCCCTTCTCCCAGCTTTATGATCGCAGAAAGGGAACCATCCTGCCCATAAATCACTCACCCTGCTCTGCTTCTCCTTTTCTTCTTGCTGGTCCTGCCTGCCAATGCCCTCCCCTCCCCACAGGGATGGTGCGTGTAGGGCTCAGTACTTAACAGCCTGGGGGTGCAGTCAAGCTGCCCACATTCCTGAACTCTCCGAGCTTCCTGACCTCAGACAAGCTACTTATTTATTTCGACAGGGTTTCACGCAGCCCGGGCTCACCTGTGTAATTGAGCAGGATCTCGAATTCCTGGTCCTCCTGTCCTCGCCTTCTAAGTGGGATCATAGACATGTGCCACCATACCAGCCTAACTCCTCCATGCTTAATCAGTGAATCTCACCAAGAGGAACTGGCGATGACAATGCCAGTCGCGTCGAGTTGCTGGAAACATTAGTTAAGGTATAAAGTCCGCAGACGGGCAGGAGGAAAACAGGGAGCACAGTTTAGATGCTAGCGATGGGGGGGGGGGTAACAAGAGTCCCATGTAGCGTAGGCTGACCTCAAGTTCCCTGGGCTCCCGAAGATGACCTTGAATTTACGGTTCTCTTGCTTCCCAGTCCCAAGTGCTGGGATTAATATGTACATCCCCACACCCAGTTTCATGCTGTATCGGGAACTGAACCCAGGGCCTCCTGCATGCTAGGCAAGCACTCTACAAACTGAGATTCTCAATCCGCGCGCACGTGTGTGTGTGTGTGTGTGTGTGTGTGTGTGTGTGTGTGTGCATGCTCCGTGTGGTCTCTGTGTATAGTCTGTGTGTGTATAGTCTGTGAGTGAGTGTTCTCTCTCTCTCTCTCTCTCTCTCTCTCTCTCTCTCTCTCTCTCTCTCTCTCTCTGTGGCCTCTCTCTGTTTCCCTCTCTTCCTCCCCCTCTCTCTATGGTCTCTCTCTCTGTTCTTGCTCTTTCTCTCTTTCTGGTCTCTCTGTCTCTCTCTGGTCTCTCTGTCTCTCTCTGGTCTCTCTGTCTCTCTCTCTCTCTCTCTCTCTCTCTCTCTGTGTGTGTGTGTGTGTGTGTGTGTGTGTGTATCTGGCTGACTGGCTGACTGGCTGACTGGCTGATTGGTTGGCTCTTTGTGATCATATATTCCCAGGTGGAGCCAGTGATCAACCTTGGCTGTCATTCCTCAGGAGCTGTTCACCTTGTTTCTTAACACAGGGACTTTCACTAGAACCTAGGACTTGTGGATTAAGTCAGGCTGGCCAGTCAGCTCCAGGAACTCACCTGTTGTGTGTCATAAGGGTGTGCCACCATGGATTCCATGGGGCAAGCTCAGGTCCTTATCCTTTTTTTTTTTTTTTTTCCGAGACAGGGTTTCTCTGTGGCTTTGGAGCCTGTCCTGGAACTAGCTCTGTAGACTAGGCTGGTTTTGAACTCACAGAGATCTGCCTGCCTCTGCCTCCTGAGTGCTGGGATTAAAGGCGTGCACCACCACCGCCCGGCACAGGTCCTTATCCTTGATTGGCAACTACTTCACTGACTGAGAAGTTGCCCAGCCTCCTACTTTAAATCTTCCTCCCTCCCTCCTTCCTTCCTTCCTTCCTTCTCTCTCTCTTCCTTTCTTTCTTTCTTGGTATTGGGACACAGGTGTGGTCCATGTGAGTCCGTGGGATGAACACACAGCTTCATCTTTAGGACGGTTCTAGCCTTCAGCTGCAGGGGGAGTCAGCCTCTCTTGGGACGGAGACACCTTCCTTTCTCCAAGGATATTTTTATTGTTCCCCAAATTTACACTTAAGCAGTTTTTATTTCCATTCCTCAAAACAAGCTGCCTGGGCCTCCAAAGGGACAATACCGAACACAACCCAATTTAGGAAGATCACAGTTTGCTGCATTTTTCCTCAACAAGTTTAGGGTATGCTTTGCACCCTTGGGAAACTCTCAGACAAGATTCACGTAGAGGGCAACAAGAGAAACAAAAGGTAACCAAGAAACAAAAGATGGATTCAGGCTAGATGCTAGCACTCTGGAACCAGATCAGGTGTAGCCACGTGGGAATTCTCCCAGGTAAAGGAAGTTCTCTCTGTACCCTTGGCTGCCTCAGAATCCAGCATATAGACCAGACTGTCCTTGAACTCACAGAGATCCATCTGTTTCCACTTTCCAAGGGCTGGGATTACAGTCATGAGCCACTATGTCCGGTTTGCTTTAATTTTTTTTTTAAATTTGCTTATTATGTATATAGTATTCTGCCAGCATGTCTGCCTGCAGGCCAGAAGAGGGCACCAGATCTCATTCTAGATGGTTGTGAGCCACCATGTAGTAGCTGGGAATTGAACTCAAGACCTCAGCCAGTGCTCTTAACCTCTGAGCCATCTCTCCAGCCCCTTAAAATTTTAAATTACCTTTACTTATTTCCTTATATGTGTGTAGGTGAGTCAGTTCTCTCCCCCCACTGTGTGAGTCCTGGGGACTGAACTCAGGTTAGCAGTGGCAAGTGCTTTTACCCATGGAGCCACCTCACGGGCACCCTTCACACTTTTATTATTTATTTATTTATTTATTTATTTATTTATTTATTTATTTATTATGTATACAATATTCTGTCTGTGTTTATGCCTGCAGGCCAGAAGAGGGCACCAGACCCCATTACAGATGGTTGTGAGCCACCATGTGGTTGCTGGGAATTGAACTCTTCACACTTTTAAAACTTAAAATGGGTTGATTATTATTATTATTATAATAGCTGCGTGTGTACGAAGTGCATGTACAGATCAGAGGACAGTTTTGTGGAGTCTCCTTCCCCCTTTATGTGGGCTCTGAGGGGGGAACGCAGGTTCCCAGTCTTGCAATGGCAAGCCCCTTTACCCACTGAGCTAGCTACCTCACCACCTCCTCCATTTTGCTTTTTGTTCATGTGGAAATTTTACTCTGTGTCCCATGCTGGTCTCAAGGGCATGAGGTGGGCTGTGGCACCACCGAGCACGCAAGACCCCTTACTGATGAACCCAGCATTTCCTCCTCCGTTTGCACCCTGACCTTTGCAGTGCCTTATTCCTGACTTGCCTCCTCCCTTAGGTTCTCACCAAGAGAACTGGCTCTGATTTGCCAAGAGGACCAGGGCAGGAGGCCGGATAGCAACATTCAGAATGGACACACAGAGGAATCTCAGGGGCAGCCCATCTTCACACTCTGGAAAGAAAAGAGAGCTGGGAGGAGGAGTGGTGGCATCTAGGAGGTAGACGGCGCAAGGACACAGGACACAGGACCCCACAAAAGTCAAGTAACTGGCCAGTAGAGTCAGGCCAACCTTGGGGAAATTGTTCCACCCCATGAGCTTTCGTTTCCTTGTGGGGATTATATTTACTTCCATATCACAGGCTTACTGGGAGCAATCAATACGCTGATTGCCTAGGTCAGGGCCTGGGACATGGGAGGGCCATAAATGGGGGTACGTCACACGGGGAGAGGAGGCCCAGGCAGGTCCTTATCTTGTAACATCCCGGGACAGAGCTCAATGGTAGAGCACTTGCCTACATGCGCGGGATCCTTGGTTTGATTCCAGGACTGAGGGTTGAGGGAGATGACAGCATCTAGAAGGATCTCTTGGTATCTACCCCGACTCCTGGAGGAGGGTTCAAACACCTTGTTAACTCCCCAAGTTGGACAGTTGCCTGGGGTGTAGCTCTGTGGTTAATCACATTCTTAACAGGCCTGAAGTCTTGGGCTCCGTTCCTAGCATTGGAGAGGGAGTGGAAATAACAGGTGTACAGGAGGCCTAAGCCCCACCTTGGGCCTAAGGACCAAAGGCAGTGGAGGAAGGCACGGGGAGAGGGCAGGACATCCCTGAGGGATTTCAGCTGAGGGCCTTTGTCTTCTGTGGAAAGAAATAGGTCAGACAGCTTGAGCTCAGGCCTGGTAAGAGCAGCCTTAAGCTTAGCCTCAAATGCTTGGTAGGAGCTCCTCAGCATTGGGAAGGACGACCCAAGGACCAGGCTTGGGGCCATAGCACCAGATTCCTCTCCCCAGAAACCCATTAAGGCTATTCTGTCCCTCCCCATTTCCCAAAACCCATTGCCTGACCCTGGCTATATTGCCAGACTCCAAATAGCTGTTTCATCAAATTCAAATCTGCTTCCTCTAGGTAGCCAAGCACAAGCACACACACACACACACACACACACACAGGGATTCTGGAAAGTGAGGAGAGGAAGAGCTAGAAGACTTTATTTTTTTTTTCTTTTGGTTTTTTAAGACAGGGTTTCTCTGTAACTTTGGAGCCTGTCCTAGCACTACCTCTGTAGACCAGGCTGGCCTCAAACTCAGAGATCCACCTGCCTCTGCCTCCTGAGCGCTGGGATTAAAGGCGTGCGCCACCATCGCCCAGGCCAAGATCATATGCAGTTGAGATGTGTTCTCAGGGAAGAGCACCATCTATAAGCCAAGGAGAGAGACTTCAAAGAAATTAGTCCTGGGCCAGCAAGATGGCTAAACACATAAAGGTGCGGGCCATCAATCCTGAAAACCTGAGTTTGATCCCTGGGACGCATATGGTAAACAAAGAAAAGTGTCCTTTGTCCTCAACAAAGGGCAGAGGGCACAAAATGGCCACTTATCATGTCTTGGCATACCAAGATTATATGGTCGTAAAATATTTGTTCTAACTACGCTAATCAGACATTTATGAATGAGTAATATATCTTTGATTTATTATAAATTTTGTTTCCTTCCAGACAGAGAATTGACAGGGACACAGAAGACAAGGGAGAGCTAAGAAGCAGCCTGTCTCCATCTTAAAAGCCATCTTATAAAAAAGACAAACTAAGCCCATTCCTGTTTAGGCTTAAACCTCTGTTTCTCAAGGATTGGGCTAGGCTGCACCTGTAACCTTAACTACAAATTGCTCTGTATGGCCTGTTCCAAAAAATGGCAGCTATGTCTTTGTTTTGAAAAGTTATTTGTAACTGTCTTGCAACCCTACCTTTGTTTCAAAAGTTCTATGTGTATGGCTGCTTTGTTGTGACTACGGCTGCCTTGTTAGGACCACCTTGCAAGCTTGTCCGTGTTTCTGGAGGTCCTTAGGAATAACTTGTTTGTAGTGATCCTATAACCCTGCCTATTTTGCCCGCCCAAGCCCCCCAACTGGAAGCCCCCAACCCCAGTGCTATAAAAGTTTTGTCTTCCTCACATCCAGGGCTGACCTCGAGCCCCACTGTAGGGGGAGGCAGCCCATGTACACAAATAAAAAATGTATGCTTTAATTAATACCTTGTTTTAATTGACTTGTCCATGATGATTTTGGTTGGTGGTCTTTCTCCTCATATTTTGGGGATTAATAAAAGCCAACTCCTGCTCCATATGTGCGCACCCAACACAGAAACATTAATACACACAGCCAGATGGTGGCGGTGCACACCTTTAATCTCAGCAGTCGGGAGGCAGAGGCAGGTGAATCTCTGTTAATTGGAGGCCAGTCTGGTTCTACAAGAGCTAGTTCCAGAACAGGCTTCAAAGCTAAAGAGAGGCCGGGCGGTGGTGGCGCACGCCTTTAATCCCAGCACTCGGGAGGCAGAGGCAGGGGGATCTCTGTGAGTTCTAGGCCATCCTGGTCTACAGAGCTAGTTCCAGGACAGGCTCCAAAGCCACAGAGAAACCCTGTCTCGAAAAACCAAAAAAAAAAAAAAAAAAGCTAAAGAGAAACCCTGTCTCAAATAAACAAACAAACAAATAAATAAAATAAGATAAAATAAAAAAACACACACAAATAAGTAAATCTAATTTTAAATTTTTTCTTTTTTTATTTGTTTGTTTGTTTTTTAAAGACAGGGTTTCTCTGTGTAACAGCTCTGGCTGTCCTGGAATTCACTTTGTAGACCAGGCTGACCTCGAACTCACAGAGATCTTCCTGCCTCTGTCTCCTGAGTACTGGGATTAAAGGCATGCCTGGCTAAATTCTGTCTCTTTTTGAGTGGGGGGAGGCACTTGCATTTCCACACACACACATACAGAGAAATAATTTTTTAAAAAAATTTAAATGTTAAGGGGCAATGGTGGTGCACGCCTTTAATCCTAGCACTTATTCAAGGCAGAGGCAGGGGGTTCTCTGTGAGTTTGAGACCAGTCTGGTCTACAGAAAGAGTTCCAGGACAGTCCAGGGCTACACAGAGAAAAACAAACAAACAAACAAAAGTGTTTTTTTTTTTTTTTTAAGAAAAATCAGTCCTGCTTACACTTTGATCTTGAACCTCTGACTTTTTGTTTGTTTGCTTGCTTCTTTTTGTTTTTGGAGACAGTTTTCTCTTTGCAGCTGTGGCTGTCCTGGAACTTGCTCTGAAGACCAGGCTGGCCTCAAACTCACAGAGATTCACCTGTCTCTGTCTTCTTGGTGTTTAAAGGCGTGCATCACCACTAACCACCACTACCTGGTGACACTCCAACTTTTAGAACCATGAAAATCATTTTTTTTGTTGTTGTTGTTGGTTTTTTGTTGTTGTTGGTTTTTTTTAGATTTTTGAGACAGGGTTTCTCTGTAGTTTTTTTGGTGCCTGTCCTGGAACTAGCTCTCGTAGACCAGGATGGCCTCGAACTCACAGAGATCCGCCTGCCTCTGCCTCCCGAGTGCTGGGATGAAAGGTGTGTGCCACCACCACCTGGCTTGTTTTGTTTTTTTGTTTTGTCATTTGAGCCACCAAATCTAAGATTATTTTGTTACGTTATGGCATCTCTAGCAAACTAATACACAGATATCTTTTTTTAAAATATTTACTTATTATGTATACAATATTCCATCTGTGTGTATGCCTGCGGGCCAGAGGAGGGCACCAGACCTCATTACAGATGGTTGTGAGCCACCATGTGGTTGCTGGGAATCGAACTCAGGACCTTTGGAAGAGCAGATAATGCTCTTAACCACTGAGCCATCTCTCCAGCCCCCAATACACAGATATCTTAATTTATTTTCCATATACAGAACTGTAACATCGAACTGGGGATATAGCTTAGTAATATTTGCTTTGCAAGAACAAAGCCTTGGCTTCAATCCCCAGCACTGTAAAATAAAATAAAATAAACAATATCGAATATGTCTTTTTTAAAGACAATATTGAATTTATTCTAGGTGAGTCTCAAATTCACTGTGTATACAGCCAAGGATGACCTTTGTTCTAGTCGGTTTTCTGCTGCCGTGATAAACACCATGGCTGAGAGGTTCTGTCGTTTTACAGGTTACAGACAGTCACAGAGGGAAGCCGTGGCAGAAGCTGAAGCAGGAACTGAAACAGAGACCATACTGATGCTGCTCACCGGCTTGCTCCCTCATTTGCTCTCGGTCAGCTTTCTTTCTTTAAATATTTATTTTAATTATATATTGTATGTGAGTGTTTACATGCAAGGTTCTCAACCAAGGAGGCTAGAGGTGTTGAATTCCTGGAGCTCAAGTTAAAGGCAGTTGTGAGTCACCCACTGTGGGTGCTGGGGACTGAACTCAGGCCCTCTGAAAGAGCATCCATGACCAATTGCTGAATTATCTCTCCAGACCTGTCTTTTCCTTTCTTTCTTCTCTCTCTCTCTCTCTCTCTCTCTCTCTCTCTTTCTTTCTTTCTTCCTGTGTGCTAACTTTCTTTTCTTTTTTCTTTCTTTCTTTTTCTGTCTTTTTGTTTCTTTTGTTTTTTGAGACAGGGTTTATTTTTTTAGTAGTCCTGGCTGTCCTGGAACTTGCTCTGTAGACCAGGCTAGCCTTGAACTCACAGAAATTTGCCTGTCTCTGCCTCTGAGTGCTGGAATTAAAAGCATGTGCCACCACCACCCAGCTCTGCTAGCCTTTTCTTATATAGCCAGGATCCACTTGCCCAGGGATGGTGACATGCACAGTGGGCTTGGCCATACCATACTAATCATCAATCAGGGTAATTCCTATCATACTTGGCCAAAGGTCAGTCTGGTCTGTGTAATTCCTCAGTGTAAATGGATACTGCTCATTTGTTTCCCGGCTGCCCAAACCTGAATAATCACACAGAAACTTTATTAATTGCAACACTGTTTGGCCTAGTAGCTCAGGCTTCTTATTAACTAATTTTTTCATTTTAAATTAACCCATTTCTATTAATCTGTGTATTATCTCGATGCTGTGGCCACCAGTAAAGTTCTGGTGGCTTTCTCCTTCAGCAGCTACTTGACTCTGTTTACTCGCTCTTTCTCTCTCTCTCTGAGAGAGAGAGAGAAAGAGAGAGAGAGAGAGAGAGAGAGAGAGAGAGAGAGAGAGATCTTCCAGCCTGGCTATATTCTGCTCTGCCATAGGCCAAAGCCAAAGCAGCTTTATTCTTTAGCCAATAATAGTAACACATATACAGAAGGTCATCCCACATCACCTCAGTCAGGGTCCCTTGGATGACTCTTGACAGTCGACTCTAACTAGGACAACCTTGAACTCTCGATCCTCTAGCCTCAACCTCCAGCCCAAGACTTCATTTGAACTGAAATTCTGTCCTTTCTGGCCTCACCACTACCTTCTCCCCTGGGAAAATTGCTAAACATGGCACCTTAGCTCACCCCATACCCCATCCTCTTATTTAAGTTACTGATATTTCTCCTGGCCTTCGGCTATTTGGGAATCTCCGTTTTTGTGACCATGAAGGGCAAGCTTTAAGAAGATCCTTGTAGTCCGGCCTGGTGGTGCATGCCTGCCTTAAACCCAGCTTTCATGCCAGGCACCCTGAAAGTAGAGACAGGAGGATCTCTGTGAGTTCAAGGCCAGCCTGTTTACAGAGCGAGTTCCAGGACAGTCAGGGCTACACAGAGAAATCCTATCTTGAAACACACACACACACACACAAAAAAACAGTCTTTGAGGCCTGATGACGATTGGGTCATCTGACAGCATATTCTGACAGCATATGCAGGCAGGATGGAATAGAAACGAAACCAAAGGCTGGGAGGACAGTACAGCGTAGCACTAATCCCAACAAGGTAGACTATCACCAGGGAAAGATGGAGCTGAAGGGTTCCATCGAGAGGTCTGAGGCCAATTCAGTCAGGTGGCAGGAACCGGGTGTCTGTATCTGTTGGTACTCTGACTACTCTTTGTAAAGCATGCTCTTGGTTGCTCTTTTGTTTACATCCTTCCTAGCCCTTTTCACAACCTGTAATTACTTTGTTTATGTACTTATATCTGCTTCCCGAAAGCAGAATCCTGTAAACTACAGGAGGGCTGCAGCTCTGGACCTCTCTTAGTGGAGGCAGTGCCTGTCACTTAGCAGATGTTTTCAGTAAATCTGAGGTCTGAATGGATAGCTCAGAGTGGAAACAAAGTCCGCAAAGGCAGGCGGATTTGTGTGATCCTTGGACAGAGTCAGAGGGGTTAGGATTCCACGTGGAAGCCGTTAAATCCGGAGGTGGCTTTAATCCCAGCACTCTGGAGGCAGAGGCAGGTGGATCTCTGAGTTCGAGGCCAGCCTGGTCTACAGAACGAGTTCCAGAACAGCCAGGACTACATAGAGAAACCCTGTCTAGAAAACAAAAACAAAACCTCGAATACCAGGCTCTGTTCTATAAACCCATTGTACAGTCCCGGACCAGGTAAATCAGGCTCCAAAGCGTGTTTTTCCATAGTCCCCAAAGAGGGCAGCACTAGGCTAGGGTTATGGGTTCTGTCCCAGAGCACGGTGACGTTTAAGGGAGACCCCCATCACTCCCCTAGAGTTGGTGACGTGCCCTGAGGGAAGTTTGCGCCGTCACCCCTGCCTCTTCTCTCCCAACTGTAACGCTGTAGAGGCCTCGGGACACCCGGTCTCCACTCCGACTTCAGCACGAAGAAAGAGGCTGCCTTTGGCAGGACACGTAATCACCACGTGGACGGGGTAGCAGAAAGAAAAAAGATGAGCAGCCTTGCACCTGTCGGGCTGACTAGCACTACCGCGGCTCCTTTAAGGCCGGAGCCGGAGGCGTGGCCTTGAAGTACGTCCGGGCAGGGGGTGGATCTTTCAGGTGACGTAACCGAGCAGAGGGCGGGGCTTCTCCAAACCTGCCAGCCAGGAAAGGGGCGGAGCTCGGGATGACGAGACACCCGGGAGGGGGCAGGCGTTCATTGATAAAATCGCCGGGCTCCCTCGGGCGCGCTCGCAGCGTAGAGAAACCAGGCAGCGCCACGCGCAGCCGGGGCCGGGCGGAACGGAGAGCCAGCTCGGGCCGGCGCTGCGCCCCGCCGCCCGCATGGAGCCCGCCGCCGGCTTCTTGTCCCCGCGCCCCTTCCCGCGCGCAGCCGCCCCGCCCGCGCCCCCCGCCGGCCCGGGGCCGCCTGCTAGTGCCTCGCCGCGGTCGGAGCCAGCCGGGCCCGCAGCGCCGGACCCGGGTCGCCTCATCACCGACCCATGCAGTGGCCGTACCTACATCAAGGGCCGCTTGTTGGGCAAGGTAAGTCGGGGGCTTTGGGGTGGCGCTGACGGAGGTAGAGGGGAGCCCTCCAGGCCCGACCCTGTCTCCCTGGGGCGACCGGACCGATGGCATCCTCCTCCTCTTAGGGGGGTTTCGCCCGCTGCTATGAAGCCGCTGACACCGAAACCGGTGTAGCCTACGCGGTCAAAGTCATCCCGCAGAGCCGCGTCTCCAAGCCGCATCAGCGCGAAAAGGTGGGTCCAGGCCCTGAGGACCAAGGGGTAGGGAGGGGATGGTGGCGTGGGTACCCTGGAAAGATGACGATCTCGCGCCCTTGTCGCAGATCCTAAACGAGATCGAGTTGCACCGAGACCTACAGCACCGCCATATCGTTCGCTTTTCGCACCATTTCGAGGATGCTGACAACATATACATTTTCCTGGAGCTCTGTAGCCGAAAGGTCCGGAATGGGGGTGGGGGGATTCATTGGTTACAGGGGTGGGAAAGGAAGCGGGTTCTTAATATCCAAAACTGGGTTCCTGTCGTCCTTAGCAATCACAGATGGAGGGCGGGTCTGGGAAGGCAAGCAGGGACTGAAACAGTGGCTTTCTGCAGTCCCTGGCCCACATCTGGAAGGCCCGGCACACCCTTTTGGAACCAGAGGTTCGCTACTACCTGCGCCAGATCCTTTCTGGCCTCAAGTATTTGCACCAGAGGGGTATCCTGCACAGAGACCTCAAGCTGGGTGAGATTCCCGGGTCTGTTCGGAAGGGTGGGGGAGCTGGGAAGGGAAGAGAGGCAGTGAGGAATCTGACCCGTCTTTCTGCCACTCTCTAGGAAATTTTTTCATCACTGATAACATGGAACTGAAGGTGGGGGATTTTGGGCTGGCAGCTCGGTTAGAGCCCCCGGAGCAGAGGAAAAAGTGAGTGGGGGTGGTGGTGGCCTCAGTCTGTATGTGACACCGGTGGTGTCCAGTGTGACAGTATGTAAGTGGAAAGCAAGGTGACCTGATGTGTGCTTGGGATAAACAGGGATGGGGTGATGGGCTGTCCTTACGTGTGAAGGTAGAGGTGGCCACTCAGGCGGGCGGGTGCCCTGAGTCCCTGACACATATGGAGTCTAAGGAGTCTTGGAAACGCATGGCCGATCTGTCTGTGTTGGATGGGGAAAACAGACCAGGCAGCGAGCGTTTGTCTGTGAGACTGACTGACTGTGGGAATGACAGGACATGATACCCTTATGTCTAAGAAGATCCCTGCGGCGGGTGTGTGTCACGCAGATAGCATGGGTGGCAGGTGAGTGTTTATGGAGGGTATGACAGCTGGTGTTGGTTGTGTGCAGCGCAGACTGTGGGAGGTGACAGCCTAATGAGTGTTTGACAGACGGGAGTGGGGGAAGGGATCAGCCGTGGACCCTCTGTACTGACCTTGGGAGAGGGGGCAATGTTGGGGTCAGGCCTCCTCCTGTGCTGCAGAGCAGCTGTGCAGCTGGAGGAGTCGGGTGGGCGAGGACTCAGCTGCCACTCTCAACATCCATTGTCCCAAGACAAGCAGGAGCTCTCTGACCCTTGGTGACAGGCAGCTGCTTTGTCTGAACTCACAGCAGGGGCAGGAATGGGGGCGGGTGCTAGGCTGGGTCTGAGCCTTCCCCTCTCCGCCCTACCCTCTTTCAGGACCATCTGTGGCACTCCCAACTACGTGGCCCCAGAAGTGTTGCTGAGACAAGGCCATGGCCCCGAGGCAGATGTGTGGTCACTTGGCTGTGTCATGTGAGTGCCGAGGTCACTAGCAGGTGGGCGATAGGTGCATGGATGGGGTGTTTCCAGTACCTGACTCCTGGTCCCCCATTCCCGGGCACAGGTACACACTCCTGTGTGGGAGCCCCCCGTTTGAGACAGCTGACCTGAAGGAAACCTACCGCTGCATCAAGCAGGTTCACTACACGTTGCCTGCCAGCCTCTCACTACCTGCCCGTCAGCTCCTGGCTGCCATTCTTCGGGCTTCACCCCGAGACCGCCCCTCTATTGAACAGATCCTACGCCATGACTTCTTTACAAAGGTCTGTGGTTCTCCAGACGCTGCGGTTCCGTCTGCCTGCATGTTCTCAGAGGATGAAAGAGCAGGACCCTTGGGATCTCACTTCTCTGTTTGTTTGGTTCTCGTCCTCAGGGCTATACCCCTGATCGGCTTCCTGTCAGCAGCTGTGTGACAGTCCCAGATCTGACCCCCCCCAACCCTGCGAGGAGTCTGTTTGCCAAAGTCACCAAGAGCCTGTTTGGCAGGAAAAAGAACAAGAGTGAGTGAGTCAGGTGTCAGGAGGTCAGGGTATAGAGCAGTGGCTTCTTACATTCCTCTGAGTAGGGGCTGGTTCCAGTGGGGGGACCTGTAGACTCTTGGGGAGAACATGTGTGTCTAGACACGTGGGAAGACCTGCCTGTGTGTGAACACTTTGGGCAATGTAATCAGACAGACCCTGAGGGCTGTATTCCCTCACCCCCCAGACAAGAACCATTCCGAGGAACGGGATAATGTCTCCTGTTTGGTGAGCGGCCTGATGCGCACATCCCTCGGTCACCCGGATGTCAGGCCTGAGGTGAGGTGCTCACGTGAGCATTATTCCCCTGACTCACCCTGACCCTAGCAGCTGAGGGAAGCCCAGCATGAAAGGCTGACGAAGCACCCAGCCTCGTGGTGGCCCTAATTGGCGGTGTGTCACTAGCCAGCTGAGGCTGACCTAGGGTGCCCTGAGAGCCGTCAGGGACAGGGCTGGGCCCCTGGGCTTTTCAAGGATTTAGATTCTGAGACCTAATCACACTCCCTCTCTACCTAACTGTCCAGGCTCCAGCAGCTTCAGGCCCAGCCCCCGTCAGCTTGGTAGAGACAGCCGCTGAGGACAGCTCACCCCGTGGGACACTGGCAAGCAGTGGAGATGGTGAGGAGCCAGAAGATGAGAGGTGCTGGAGGTGGCTGGGGTGGAGACCAGGGGCCAAAAGGAAGTGGTTGGCCAAGGGACATGACCTGGGCCCAGGGAGGCCATTGCCTAAGTGTCAGTGCCCTGTTCCCTCAGGGTTTGAAGAAGGTTTGACTGTGGCCACAGTGGTAGAATCTGCCCTCTGTGCCCTGAGAAACTGTGTGGCCTTCATGCCCCCAGGTAAGGCTGGGCTCTGGTCCATGCACATAGTTTGGAAAGTTCTCTTTGACCTAGAGACCAGGGAAAGTCTTCACTCCCTCCTCTCCTGTAACAGCGGAACAGAACCCAGCCCCGTTGGCACAGCCAGAACCTCTGGTGTGGGTCAGCAAGTGGGTTGACTACTCCAACAAGTTTGGCTTTGGGTATCAGCTGTCCAGCCGCCGTGTAGCAGTGCTCTTCAACGATGGCACACACATGGCCCTGTCAGCCAATAGGAAGTAAGTGCTATCTGGGGGCACTTTGTATTTAGGCTGTTGTACCAAGCAGAGTTGCACCCTGGTGTTTCTGGGTTCAAGGGCTCTCAAATCCAAAGGGAAGGAACGATAACGCCAGGCTCTTTCTCTGCTTTCCACGTTCTTTCAGGATCGTGCACTACAACCCCACCAGCGCGAAGCACTTCTCCTTCTCTGTGGGGTCTGTACCCCGTGCTCTGCAGCCTCAGCTGGGCATCTTGCGGTATTTCGCCTCCTACATGGAACAGCACCTCATGAAGGTGTGTAGGCTGCACGGGGGGGGGGGGGGGG